TCTCTGAACAGAATCTTTAAGGACTTCATCCAAGAAAAAAAAAAGTAATAATTAAAGGGTCCACAATGGTGAGATGATTAAAAATCAGGACTTGAGGAAGCCACAGCACAGGATACTATCTATAGACTGGTTCTTGAATGTTCCCCAAAGGCTATGTGCTAAAGCCTTTGGTCCCTAGCCTGTAGCACAATTGGGAGGTGGTAGAACTCTTAGGAGGTAGGGCCTATGGAAGGAAGTTAGGGGCTTGTTCTTGAAGGAGACATTGGGATCCCAGCTCCTCCCCTCTCCCATTCTTTGCCTCCACTCTTTGGCCCAGACATCATGAGGTGAACAGGCTTCCTGCTCCACCATAAGCTCCTACCATGATGCACTGTGTTGCAAAAAGCAACAGGCTGACCATGGACTGAAACCTCCAAAACTGCGAGCTAAAATAAACATTTCCTCCTACATTTGAGAATCCTTGAGATTTGTCTCAAGGATTCTGTCTCAGTGATGGAAAGCTGACTAATACACAGGTCCTAGTGGAGCCCAGGACGGGAGACAAACCACACTCTGTGGTGCCTCTGAGGACAGCAAAGCAAGAAGAAGGCCTTCAAGTGGTATCCAGGTGCCCAAGGACCAGAGTGGCCAGGCAGCTCCCGTCAGCACTAACCTGGTGACCCATGGCCTGGGAGAAAAGGAGGGGGAAGGCTCCAGGAATGGCCCATAAAATTCCCATCTCAGCACCAAGATTTCTTCTTTTCTGAAAAATACACTCCAGCTGCTGTGATCCAAGTTGCCAATTTTTCTCTTCTTCCCATTGGCTGCTGCACTGAATCCCAACTCTGGACACCTGTTTTTAACACCGAGTCAATATGCCCTTCAATGGCTTCGTCCCATTTTAATAATCACAGGGAGAGGTGCCAAGAGCCCATCTAATCTGAATCTTTGGCTCGTCCCACTCATTTCTTATGGGAAGCATTGCCCTGAAAGCCTGGTAACACTTCTTTTCCTCAGACATATATTCTAGAGCTCACTTTTATAGACTATTTTACCAAAATAGGCCTATTTCCTCTTATTAAAAAAAAAACTATTAATAGTCCTTTCTGGATTATCACCAGTTTGGTGTTTGTACCCTTCTTCCCCTGAGGTCCTTTTATGGACTATTTATATTCACTATATTGTACCTTCAAAGTTGCTTCCTACTCAGCATTTACATTCCACCTTTATGTTTGCTAGCTGTGTGTTCTAAACAATTTGTCAATTTGTCAATGCTCACCTTTTCAAAATGACATAGAATGACTATTAGTGAACCTTAACAAACTGCTTATATATGATGATTTGATAATCTACTGCATTTTTGTGTTTTTTAAAAAAATCAGTTTACCACTTGAATAATTTTTTTCCTTTCTACACTTATGATAAAGGTCATATGGTAAAGAAGCATCATTTTTTTAAGCTTAAAACGATTTGTCAACGCCCTGAAAGGACAGTACAGTACACAAGCCACTCTAGCCCTCTCAGCTGGCCAAGTAATTGATCTCTCTGCCTGCCCACAGCCCTGCATGGATGAATCACACGGCCTGATTAGCCTGCCTTGTACAAATCATCCATGGGGAAACACACATGCTACAATTTCACCCAAGAGCACATGCTGCCAAGAATCAGATTCCAAAGAAACTTGAGTTCTCTCTGGCCCTTATTTTCCTCTTTGACTTTTATTCGGTTTTTTCCCCCATATATGTGCTGCGAGGGTCCACTTACATTAAATACAGACAACAGAAGATTATATTAAAGAGTAAATGACAAGGCCTTGAAAATTATCCAGAGCCATAAGATACAAGTGGGTAACATTCTCTCTCATAAATAAGGGAGCATAAAATCCACACACAGAGAAAACACAGATAAATGTTTAAATTTTACAGTCATTTAGAGCAAACCAAATTAGAAATAGTCTAACAAAGAAAGCACTATGGATTTACATTCCAGAAGACACAACTAGTCTGACATACAAAAAAAGAGTAATTGAGTAGGTAGCTTGATTGCCCTGATCGTCCTACTGCACAACCTCTACTTGAAAAGCAAGAAAAATACAGCACATCGATGTCTTCATACATAATAAGCACCATTTAGGTACCACATTCTAAAGACTTTATTAAACAGAGTACTCCTCATATAACATTCAATCAACTAGCCCCCACCTAAAATAACACTCAAGTTTCAAACACTTTTTCAGTTGATTTAATGAAATAGTATAGCAAAGAGATTCCTCCTGATTTGAGCCCATGTAAAGCTCTCAATTAATTATGTGAGTGCTGTTATGGAAAGTTTATAGACTGAGTGGGCGTACGTCAAGTCTAGGGTGTCAAATCGCAAGTCTGGGGTATCTTCTCATGCGGAGGGAGGTCCAACTGTTGATGGTTTTCTCAACTGAGAATGTCAAAATTATAAAAATATAATTTTTAATTTATTGTTAGAAGAACTTACCAGCATAAATCAAAGCCACTGGACTAAAGGAAACATACAGTTATGCCAAGAGTGAACTGATGGATGGACAGAGAAATGGATACATGGGCAACTACATGATAAAGCAAATATAGCAAAAATAAGAATTATAGAACCTAGAAGGTAGGAGTATGAGCGCTACATGTAAAATGGTTTCACTTTTCTGCATGTTAGAACATGTTTTTTAATAAATAGGTGGGTGAAATAATTCAGAATCATAAGAACAAAAAAGGAGGCAGCAGGTCTCTCTGGGAAAAACCTCAGCCTGGAAGACAATACACTTAGTTTTCAGCCTTAGCCCAGGACTCACAGAGTTCAGAACTGGGAAGGGGCTTTGGAAACCCTCTATGGCAGGTAAAACATGGTTTTATGGGTCCATGAAAATTTTTAAAAATATATATTCCATAGTATTTTCATAAAACTAAAAGTATTTTAAAACTTTTCTTTTTTCCAAGATTTCATGCTTCCACACTTCTGGCTTTTAGATATAATGAATATGACGGTGAAACAGATGATAGACTTGATGTCCTCTTAACAAAAACAAAACAAAACAAAACAGCAACAACAAAACTTCCCATGATAGTTTTAGTATTTCTGAAAGATACAAAATGAAAATCCTAGCAACTGCCACTTCAATGTTGTCTCTCCTATCTTATAAAAAACTTCAACCCCAAGTAACATTACCCAGGAAAGTAGTATATAATCCTGGACAGTTCACCCATGTCAGGGATCAAAAAGGTGACTCACATATTCCAGGTGGGATATTAATCCAAGGACCAAATCCCAGTTTACACATAGAGGGACAAGGGTCTCTTGGCAAGAATCACCCAAGTGGTTGACTTTTAAGTACTGTCATTGGTGGACTGTATCACTTCATTCAGCACTGAGAGAGACTTTCTTATAGAAATCAGTTTTTGAATTTAATGTTAGACCTTCAACCATATTTGATGGTTAAGACTAATTGCGTCAACTTGACTGGCCTGGGAACTGCTTAGGGGATTAGCAAAGCACATTTCTGGGTGTGTGTCTGGGTGTAATGTTGGGTACTATAACTGGTCCTTCCTCTCTGGTGCTGTTCTACTGCTCTGCTTCCCAGCCAATATGATCTACACTTCTCTGCTTCACTATGCCCTTCCATCATGATGTTTCTGCCTTGGAGCCAGCAACCATGGACAGAGTCACCTGAAACCATGAGCCAAATTAAACTGCTCCTCCTTTAGGTTGTGGGTGTCAGGTACTGTGTCCCAGTGATGGGAAGCTAACTAATACATCATGCTTTCACAAATCTAGCTTACTACTGACACAAGAGCATAAGCTGATGCAAATTTACCTCTGTAAGGACTATCACCCACTGGTCTTATTTTCTCCAAGCTTGTCTCATAGTCAAACAGCTAGCATAAAATTTTATGCAGAATATCTGAAACAAACTGAATGCATTTCTTGTGTAGGCTTCTAGTAGGGAGCGCCAAATTGACACTTGAGAAAAACATAAGAAACAGCTATAAAACTTCAGACTTTAACTGGTTCAAGAAATGTACTGAATAAATTTGCATGTAACTAAAAATAATATAGAGATGTAGACGAATATCAAATTGAAAACGTGACCAATGAGGGGGAATTGGTACCTATCTTACAGGAATAAAAAAAAAAAAAGACTACAGAAGTCTGTTTTATAAAACAAGTTAGATATCCATTCATCGTAGGTGTCTCTCACTACCCTACAGCTGCCCAAAGGAGACAATAAATAAAAATGTCAGTGAATAGAGCTCTGCTTGTCATACTCATCAAGTTTATACTGCTGTGACTGAAGAGCTACAACACCTTATATTCAAAGTTCTTTGGGACGAAGCTTCAAATCACATTTAGTTCCAAAACTAGCTTGAGTATCCCTTCCAGAGTGGAGAGGAATGAAGAAAAGATGTAAACTCAAGACTCAGGGGTCTTTGTAAAAGCAGATTTAGATTTGTGACATACCTCAAGGGTTTGTAAAGTAAGGTAGCACACATATTCAGACAAAAACACACTACTGCAGACACTATGTGTGTCTGAAAATGACCGAGTGCACATCACTGCGTACAAAATTGAACAAAAAATGAATCATCAAGGATATACTTTTACTTCCAGGAGCCCAGTTTAGTGATAATATACTTGAAAATACTGTAAAAATTAGATCATTTAAACTTTTGATCTCCTAATATGTGCCTAAAATAAACAAGGGACTCAAGTGCTTGTTACTGAGTTACTAATAGTAGAGCCTTTTCTACTACCTGCACCACCCACTCTATTATCACCTCCTTCTCAAAGAAGAGGTGTCCATTGTCAGGGATGCGCCCTTGCAGCTATGTAGATATATGATCCTGTGCCCTGGTCACAAGTAAGGTGCCAAGGGTGGCCATCTGACATAAACTGATCAAACTCAAAACTGGGACTGAGGCCTCAGTGAGTGTGGCTGGGTACTTGTTAGTGGCAGAAAGAGGCAGATGTGAGTCCCAGTGAAAGACTGAAAGAATTACCACCTCGTTCCTGGGTGGCTGAATGCTACGAGGTTGCAGTCCCTTGTGAAATCCAACTGTACTGCTATGCTTGGGCTCCATGGTGGCTTCTCTGTCATCATCCTTTCACGTCCTTCTTCCCTGTGAAGTTACACAGAAGTGTTTCTACCACTTGCATCCAAAAATAGCAAGTAGCTAAAAAGAGTAGGATAATTATTATAATATCTCAAAGATTTTAAGAATAATAATACTAAACAGAAGTCACAAGGAAATTAGCTATGACCACCTAAATATTAAATCTTGCACTGTAAAGGAAATAACATGAAGACAAAAAATGAACACAAAAAAAATATTGCAACATAATGGGCTAAGGGTCAACAGCCTTAATATATAAAGAACTCATAAATACGATTCTTCCATTAGAAAATGAACAATGTATATTAAATAGCCATAAAAGACATTCAAATGGCTAATAAGTATAATCAATTAATTAAACATATATATGATTCTATATAACCTCTTCAATAATTAAATACAAATTAAAATTAAGTGTTTTCCATCCATTAGATCACTGGAAAATATTAAAGGTTTTAATATTAAGTAGTTTCCGATCACACCCTGCTGAAGTGTGAATTAGCACAGGCAATCTAATACACATTGTAACTATGAATGTGCACAACTTCTACCAGGCTTTCCATGTCTCGAGAGCCATCTCAAAGAAACAACTGGATTACTTGAATTAAATCACATAAGACTGTTCACCACAAGCCTGAAGATAAATCTCAGATGGGATGTCCAATGGGGGATTCATTAATGCAAAGCCCTCCAATGGGACATTAGTTGCTCGATGTATGGAAAGGAATCGAACATACATTCTTAAGTGAAGGAGACATATTAAAAGACATGAAAAAGTATGATCAACATTTTTTAAAGTCTGAAAAGATCTAAAATGTTAATAGATGTTAATAGACTTACAATTTTCACTTTTTTATACCTTCCGCTATTCTATACTATCAGAATTTTCTACCATGAGTGCTTTATAGATACAATTTTAAATTTTTTTCATTAAAAATGTAGGCAAAAAACCCCTCAAATTAGAGAGATAGGAAACATTTACAAGACAGTTCAAGACCAGCAGAGATAGGAGTCAGAACTAGGTGTGAATCTTAGATTTGCCACTTAATAAAGCTTTGGAACTTGATGTTTGAAGTATCCATTAAATGTACATACAAACTGCTTAGTTCAGGCCTGTATATCGGAATACTTCATTAAATGACAACTACTACATCTGGCAGTTTTAAATGCATCTGATGAAGTATAAATAGTATAAATATTGACATATATAGAGAGACAAAGCAAATAAAATGCTCCCCTATTCTTAGGTTATTTTAAAAGTATCTACTGCCTAAACTGGGGAAATCTACTGAAAACAATAAAATAACAACATTGAAAAGGCTCCTTAATTCGTCTGACTCAACATTAGGTTAAAAATCAGCTTCTTCCCACTTCTTTTGCACTGTAATCTGAGGACATTTGTTTCCCTCACATGGTCAGTATAGAACATGGTTAACTCCAGGTCACAGAGGTGACACATATAAATCAGAATCATAGCATGATTAAATAATTGCAATCCCATCTGCTCTCTTTCTCTTTCCCTGAATTTTCAGGGCCAAGAAAGACCCTCCTTGACTAAACTTTAGTTGGGCTGAGACCACTTCTCCACTAGTCTATGACCTTCATCCAGATCCTGTTCCCTTAGTGAGAATCCTGCTAAATTGGTTTAGAAGGAACTTCCAGCCTTGATATTTTATCAAGCTCCTCACCCTCCACCTTTGATATATAAGTCCTTGACCTGCTTTCAGCAGGAATCCTGCTAGATCAGTTCAGTGTGCTGCCTTCTCTTAGTAACTTTCCATCCACTGACCTCCTCACTCTGCTCTGGCTGTTGGTCCTCAGCTGCTGGGGGTTGAGCCTGACCACTGTAGTACAACAGTCTTGAATAAAGTCTTCCCTGCTGTTTAAACAAATGTCAAGAAACTTTCTTTATCAGTGGGTATGTATAAAGGTCTTGGAACCTGCAGGTGCAGGCTAATCACAATGCCAGCTGGAAAGAAAAACAAGCAAAATACAAAACTTTGCTTCTCTAGTGTGACATAAAGGCTTCAAATACTGAGATTCAAAATTGCCCAGAATCATACAGGACATTAAAATCATAACAAACACAACCCCTACAGTTAGCCTCTTTGAATTTTAATGGCCCAGTATTACATCTTAACTTAATTCAAAAGGACACAAAAGAGGGGAAAATTGTGCTATAAAGTTTTCTTCAGGTTGAATGCTATGTCATATTATGGACACAGCATAGAACCAATGCCTGATACACAGTAGAAGCACAATGCTTTCCTCAACTGAATGACAGAAATAATGGAAGTAGATGAATAATGCTTGTTCTTGAAAGAGGATATAAATTCAAGAGTAAAAAATAACAATCATCTGATTACATTAAGCAAATCAGAGAAAACTAAAGACACTTGATTTTTTTTATTTCTAGCAAATATCAAGAAGTAAAACTAATATTGCTTGTTTTGTGGTATTGGGGATTGAACTGAGGTAGGTCCACAGCTCTTTTCATTCATTCATTCATTCATTTATTCATTCACTTATTCATTCATTCTCTCATTCGACAGGATCTCACTAAGTTGCTAAATTGCACAAGCTAGGTTCAAACTTGTGATCCTCCTGCCTCAGCCTCCCGGAGTACTAGGAGTTATAGGTATATGACACCAAACATGGCTTAATATGTTTTTAGAAAACAGTTCCAGTATGCAGTTCTAAGTAATCAATTGGTGTTGCTGTAAATACAAATGGTATTTCCATAAACAGAAAGCACTGTGTGGTGGGGGAGTATCAGAGATGCTGCTGTCTATCTACACTGAGGGTAACAACACACGGTAACACACCTGTCTGGATGGTTAAATCCTGTGCCTAAGCATCTGGAAAGGAGGTAATGCACTTTCCCAAGGAAAGGGACACATCTGGAGCTCCACCTCAGAGAGGCTAAATTCATTCTAAAGTTATACCTGAAAAGTAGAGGAGACTGTTGCTTTCTTTAAAAAGAGAAAGTTACCATTAAAAAACATATTACACATGAACACTATACACACATATATGGTAATTTTGAATGATATAGGTATATCATTTATTTTAAAGCAACTTGTGAAAATTTAAATTGTTCCTAGTAAATAATTGTTATTAGTAACTCCTAATTATCTTGCACAAATATATACTTTTTTCACTGTGGAAGTAATGCATATAAATAAGCATTTGTGGAAGAGGTTAAGGATGTCTGAAAATTCAGTTCTCCATAAAAATCACAAAACTATGGGGAAATTTTTTAAAATAAACTTTCAGAATTCTGGAAATTAGCCAAAGGCTTGGAACAATATGATAAATGTTTATTCGATAAAATAACCAAACCTCAGTAAGAAAAAAAATAAAAAGAGAAAGTTAAAGCAAGATATCAGAAAAAAATAGAAAATTAGAACAAGTTACCAGAAAGGTCAGTGAAATACCTCAGGCTACTTGGGACTTTTGACTATCTGCAAATAAGTCCTGTGGATGGCACTGCTCAATGAGATTACCCCCATATCTATTTTTTTCATCTTTATACAACAATAAGTGGAGAACTTTGAGGTTCTTCAGTTGCACAAGTCAAACAGGAAGTTCCCAAGCAGGAGCTCTGCAAAGTGTTGTTTGTTGTAAAGGGGGTGGATGTGCCAGAAGAAGTTAAAAGGGAAAAAGACAAGCCAGGGGATTTCTGAGTTTTGAGGCAAGAGAGAAATAGTGGTTTCTCTGTCATCACTGCACAGCCAAATAATGCTGTGGCTGGCAATGGGAACCAGTGCCAATGACTGAAGAGAAAGAACAGCTTAGAGATTCTAAAACAAAGCCAAATCCTTGGAATCTGGTTGCTAGATTTAAATAAGTTATTTCATCAAATATTTCATATAGCCAGGCGTGGTTGCACCTGCCTGTAATTCCAGCACTTTAGGAGGCTAAGGCAAGAGGATCACAAGCTTGAGCACAGCCTGGCAACTCAGAGACTTAGTAAGATCCTGTCTCAAAATAAAATACCATACAATAGAATAGAATAGAATAGAATAGAATAGAATAGAATAGAATAGAATAGAATAGAATAGAATAGAATAAGCTGGGATGAAGGCCCCAGGCTTGATGCCTGCTACCACCACCACCACCACCACCAAAAACAAAAACAAAAAAAAATAACAATTTTGAACTCTGTAAGACAACAAAACTTATGCTAAATAGTATGTTAAACAGCTCTCAAAGTAGCTTTTTAAACCCATTTCCCAAGAATACTTTTATTAAAGCTAACAGGGAAAATGGTTTTATAGTTTTAGCTATAACCTAAATAAATGCCATAGTTATTCTTCTTGAATAAAGAAAAGTATCACTGATAAAACTTAAATAGGAAGCTTTATTATACCAAATAGTGCTACTCAGAACACTAGCATTCTTTGGGATCTGGCTGAAGTTTTAAGGCACAAGTTCCGTATCTTGCCATACCTTTCAGTCCAACTACTTATCAATGGGAGACGGAAAGCAAACATTACAAGAAGGAGAAAAAAGTCTATGTTCCACACCCACTGAAAACTAAACTGACCTCTATTTCCCTGCAGCACCAGGACCATTGGGGTGGTATTGAACTTGTGGACAGACAAAGGGAGCAGCTGCTCCACTGCCTCTGGGTGAGACTACTGCTTCCTACAGGTGCTCTCTTGGAAGACCCCAAAAACAAACTGAAAAAAATGAAATTTGCCAACGCATGTTTTTACAAAGATTTTGGCTCAGCCAGGCATGATGGTGCACACCTGTAAGCCCAGCACTCAGGAGGCTGAGGCAGGACGGCCATGAGTTTGAGGTCAGCCTGAGCTACGTAGTGAGTTCAAGGTCAGCCTGAACTACATAGTGAGACCCTGACTTAGGAAGAGAAAAAAAGGCAAAAGAAAGATTTTGTCTCAATGGATATTATCCATAACTACAATGCTTTATAGAGCTTTACAACCTACCAGGTATCCCTTTACTAAGTGGCTAAACTCTCTGATCACAATAGAAAGCTGTCTGAAGAGCCAGAAAATCTCATCAGCACAAGGCCAAAAAATACTGAAATGAATGAGGGACTTCAGTTTCTGCTCCACAAGATTTATAGGTATTGCTTGTTGCTCACTGATTTTCTAACTTACAGAGTGTCTCTTCTTGAAAGGAATTAACAGTGTGTGGTAAAAACAGAACTTTTCTCCTTCATTTTTCTACACACAAAATGTTGGTCATCAACACTATAGCTTAGCTCTTTTTTCTCCCATCTCTCAATAAATCACCCAGGGATGCCATTTCTTCCTAACAAGGCTTGGAACCAGACTCTTTCTAAAGAGAAGTAAACAAACCACTTCTGATTAAGGCCTGGGCTCACTAGCACCTTTCCTCTCTCTACTCTCAGCAATAATCCCATGTTCTAGAGCAAATAGAAGAGGAATTCCTCCTCCCACTAGGATCTTTCTGGTCACAGCTGCAGTTCCCACTGGACTTTCTCTTCCCTTTCCTATTTCACCTATTTTGATCACTCAGGTTGTTAGCAGGAAGAAAAACTACAGTTTAAGGTTTGAGGAAATGGTGCAATACATTATCTGACAAGAACAGAAGAGAGAGATGGCAAGACAATGTTAGAGGCTAATCCTAGGTTCAGATGGATGCATCATAATTTAACATTATACAGAGAGATTCTGGCATTGTGGGCTCTGGAGCAGACCAGCTAGGTTCAAATGCAAGCTCTATAAAAGCAACATGACCCTGGGAAAACTGCTTACCCATTAAGTGCCTCTGTCCCCTTGTCTGAAAAAAATGGAAATGATAGTGCCTGCTTCCTAGGAATTATTGTGAGAATCAGATGATATAACAAGAACTTGAAAACTGTAAGCACTAAAGAGCAAACATTAATTGCATTAGCTATTATTAATACTATGGATATATTTTTAAAGAATGAGGTAATTCTACATGTATAACATAGAATAATGTCCATGACTGAGTGTTCTGTGAAAATGCTACAGAGTATCATATTTAGTATGTGCCTGTTTGGGGAAGAAAAAAAGAAATATGTATTTATAATTAGGTCCAAAAAAGTCTGGAATCATCCAAACACTGAACTACTGTTACCCCATGGAAGCAACAGCGTGGAGATGGGAGCAAGCTGACATTTTTACACAGGTCTTTGCTTGAATTAACATGCATGTACTACTTTATAACTAAGTCAAAAAATGAAGTATTTTACAGTGGCCTTTCTAGCCTTCAAATTGAACTTCTCTCATGTTCTCATCTAGGAAAAGATAAGCTTCTCAGAGATGAGGAAACTGAGGCTCAGAAAGAATGAAATGGAGCCTCTGCTCTATCTCTTGTTTGTCTCATTTCTGATTCCTTCATATTCTTTGCAGCCCTTGGCATCTGAACATTCTGAAACTGGTTTTTGTTTCCTTCATGCTTATCTGAGGTTTCCTTTTACTGGGCCCAGGTATGGTCCACCTTCAGTGTTTTAGTATCTTCTTTCCTGCCTCCCTCTCATCACTTTCTCAGCATTTGGCGGCCTTTCTCAGCATCGTGCCTAAGACAGGAACCCTTTCCCTGTCAACCACTGCAGTGACAAGAAACCCCCACCATCCAGGTTCGGGCAGGCAGGCACCAAGGCCTCACCTACACACTCACTTAAGGACCATGGCTCCAAGCGGCTCTTCGTCTTGCAAATGGGCCAAGTGGGCTTTTTTTTTTTTTAATCTGTTTTAAGTTTTAGGCAAGAAACAATGCTTGATGTATTTTGGCAGGCATTTTTGTCTTCCTGTAGGTCTTTCCTTACACAGTGTTTACTTCTGTTTTGGCTTTCTCCTGGAAGTTATAATGCGATTTTGTTCCTTTGTCACCCTCCCGGTTCTCTTCCATGCTGGTGTCATTAGATGTTAGTATTTCCTTCTTTAGCATCCACTCACATCGGACACTTCTGGCTCCTTACACTCCAGTCGTCTATCCCTCCTTACACACAAGCTCGTGGAGAAACGGTTATAGGATGACTTGAGAAGGAAACGAGAATAAGAGATTCTAATCTCTACTCCGGAACCCGGAGCACCGGGAACCCTGCCTGCCGCGGGTATCAGGGGCCACCAGAACCGGGTCAACAGCTAGGCGCCCAGGCGTAGGGCTAGCTGATTGGTCCTTGGATGAGCCAATCCGCGAGCGAAGCCGTGCAACGGGAGAGGAAGGCCAAGATTACGGAGGGGATGAGGAGGTTAAAGGAAACGCTTCAGGTGTGCCAGGCTCCAGGGTTTAGTGTGTACCTTTTCACCCACAGGATCACTATTAACCTAAGAAATTCTGGTCTATACTCTCCCTTCTTAGTTTTCCAGTTTTGTACAGTTTAAGTAGGAGATAATGGGGGAAAAACTTATCCTGCCATTCACAAGATGGGTTATTAATAATCAATGGAGAAGTAACCGTGAAGTAGAAGAAAGCAATAAAATCCTCCCTCCCTCCTTTCCCGGTTCCACTCCAGGACGCCAACCTAACTCAATCGCTCCAACCCTCACTTAATCGCCAAAGCCGATTACCAAAGCGCTTTATTAGACACCTGGAGTAAGTTTCTACCCTCCCCGGGGACTATGGGAACAGTGTTTGCATTCACTGAAGGCGCAGCGTTTTACTACCTGCTAAAGCAGAAGCAAACGAACTCGCAGGCTGTAAGTCGGGGAAGGAGAGCTTCCGAAATGTGCAGTCACGCACACCAGCACCTCGGAGATTCAGACACCCGCCCCAGGCGTGGCGACAGATCCTCCAAGCATCTACCCCGCAGCTCCGCAGCTGGGGGCGCACAGATTATTTTGGGGAGGGGTGCGCAGAAACCAGATTGTCCTACTACGTTTTAACTCCGGCAGAGCTGTTCTGACCACTTTTCCCTTCTAGCGTCACAGCCCCCGGGTTCACAGACCTGTGCGACCTCAAGCGTTCCCACGGTCCGGCGCAGGTCCCCTCCCTCTGCCACCCCACCGCGGCTGGGGACGACGCGTCCCGGGGGAAGGGGAAAGGAGAAGAGGGGAGGGAAATGGCCAGTGTAAGTTAAGGGGTCCCCGGCCGGGCCTGGACGCCGGCAGCCAGTGGGGTCCCTGCAGTAGGGAGAGGAGACTGGAACCGCGCGGGGCAGGGCCGCGAGGAGAGGAGGGGCGCCGCCGGGGTCGATGCACTCACTCTGCGTAGCCAGTGGCCCAGGGCAGCCGCCTGGTCTCCTTGAGGATGAGGATGGGGCGTGCGATGTGGTCCGCGCTGCACTCCACCTCGTCCTGAGACAGCCCGAGGAACTCCGGCCGCCCGTAGGGGAAGCGCAGGGGCAGGTCCGAGCCTCCACAGCCGCCGCCGCCGTGCTCGGAGCCTGAGCTGCCAGCCATGATGCCGCCCATGAAATTGGCCACGGCAGATTTCACTCGAGTGAGCATATTACTCCGGCGCCCGGCAGCGGCGATGAGAGCAGCAGTCGGCGGCGGCCGGGCGCGGCGCGGGGCATGCAGGCTGCGGAGGGCGCGGGGCGCACGGGCAGCGGGGCCGCTGGGGCGCGCGGCTCCCGGCACTCAGTGCTGCAGGGCGCCGAGCCCCGGCCTCCAGCGCTCGAAGCCTCCGCCGCCTTTCCCCGCGACACTTCCGCAACGGAGCGACATGGAGCGAGCGGCCCGGGCGGGAGAGACGCCGCGCGCCCTGAGAGCGGCGGGGCGGCCGCGGCGGCAGCAGGTTCCTTCCCGCCCCCTGCGCTCCGCCGCTACGCGCGCGGACCCGAGCCCACCCCGCCAACCCGCGGAGCCGCGCCGGCTGCAGCCAAGGCTAGCGCCGCCGTCGAGTCATGTGATAATCAGGCTGCGGCTGTGGCCGTGGCTGGGCCCCTCCCCTACCGCCCGAGCGAGGCTGGCACCCGGATCCTGACCTCCTAAGGGACGGGTACCCTAGAGCGGCCGCCAGTTGCTAAATGGAGGGGCTGGGGGCTCTGTGGCCGCACAGGTGTTAGGGGCTGTCACGTGGCTCCAGGCCGCGGGAGAAGCCCATGGAGGAATCTGCTCCCGGAGGAATCCTGCCTTCGACCCCCGGAAAGGGAACTTGGGGAGCTGGAGGGGGAAGGGGAGACAGGTGCAGCCCTGTGGATTGGCTCGAAGTCCTGAGGAGGGCACGAGCAAAAGCGCCTGGTGTAAGTGACTTAACCTGGCACTGATTGCGTGGGAATCATTTAAAGTTTTTTCCCTAGGCTTTTGTAGAACTATTTTTTCTGTAATTGTCATCACATACATCATTTTCTGTATCTGTGGCACAAACCCACTTTAGAACATCGAATAAGCGTAATAGAAAAAACAAACCTCAAAATCAGGAACGTGCCCTATTTTAATGAGCGCTCAATTGTTGAACAATTTTATACAAGCGTTTTTCCTGCCACATAGCACAAATATATTTTTTCAAAGATGATCCTGATTGCTGTTGAGACATTTAATGCAGTCATCTTGTATTTTCTAAAACCATTGTCACAGAATAACCTAAGGGCTCCTGTAAAACTAAAGAAATTTAAATAGAAACAGCAGCTCAAGTGCTGAAGTTAAAAACGAATAAATGCTTGCAATGATAAAATTTTTTGGCGATCTTATATTAAGACCAAACAGAAACATGTCTGTAAAACGGTGAATGTGCATCATTAAGGGTAACATTTGTTAAATATTGGCTCTGTGTGTGTGTGTGCAGTAAGGCCGCTATCCTGTACATGTTTACTCCCTGTATCCGGTTCCTATGTTTACCTTCCATTTAATTTGCCAAGTCTGTGTTATTTGTGCAGTTCTGCACCGAGCAGTTCCCCTGGAGTTGGGAGGGAACACAGGCCCTCATTCTTCTCGCCATTGGGGAGGGGAAGGCAGCCCAGGCGACAGAGAAGTTAATTCTTTGAAGAGGAGTTCTAAGTGGAGGAGTCCTTGCTGGCAGGTGGAGTCTGGGTAAACCTCGCTAGTCTTTCAATTTTTTTTCCTTCCAGAGTCCATAATCCTTTTCTCCCCAAGGAATTTTCCATTTGACTTTTCCATGAATAGGTACAGTATTCTGGTTCACTATATACCAAATCATTATGTAAACGATGACAGTATTTCAAATGTTCGTTGACATTCCACTACTATCCATGTATTCTTTTAATACTTTACACAGACAGAAGTGTGATTTTAACTTGCCCTTCTTACTCCTTCTAATTATAAAAATTGGGGCACGATTTTAAATGAGGCAATTATCGTTCTCATTAACCTTTCCCTAGCTACACAATAAACTTCTTCTGAGTGGGAAATCTCTGATTATATGTGCAGTGGCTAAACATTTAACTAATCCTTCCTCTTAGAGGGTTACCAGGAACTAATCCAAGGGCACTCAGTGAGCTACATCCTCAGCCCTCAGACTTGTGATCCTCCTGCCTCAGCCTTCCAAGTAGCTAGAATTTCCTTTTCAAACTTTTGTTGTAGAACTGTTTTCTTTTAACATTGCCTTTGGGCTATTTTAGTAACTAAGCTTTTTGTTTTTGTTTTGTTTTGTTGTGGTTTGGTTTTTTGAGACAGGGTCTCTTTTTGTAGCTCATGCTGGCCCTGAACTCACTATGTAGCCCAGGCTGGCCTCGGACTTGTGGCGATTCTCCTTCAGCCTCCCAAGTGCTGGGAGTACAGGTGTGTGCCACCATGCCCAGGTTTTGTTTTGTTTTTTTTTAATTTAATAATGCTCTTCCCTTCATTTCACTTTATGGCAAAACCTTAGTATTTATGTGAAATAGGTTTTCTTTTTAGAAAAAAAGAAAACAAAAACCTTTTTGTCTGATTTATTCTCAATTCAAAAGCACTCCCTGAAAATATATATTATAAATAAATAAAATTCAGTGGTACAGAAATCTAACTGAAAAAGTAAAAAAGTCTGTAACAATTCCCAAGGGATAACCACTGCTGATGTTTTCTGTAGGCTTCCGAAGCTGTTCTCAACTAGGATATTTGGCGTAATTACTTTTGGCAATATTATCAAGATTTGTAGATTGAAGTTTTGCTTTCTTAGTATAACTCAGTAATTTTTTTGCTATTTCTCCATAAACATTTTTATTAACTATCACAGGGAAGGTATGTAGTAGAGAAACAAAAATTCCATACTTGTTCGCCTTTGAATATTTTTATAAGAGATAGAAGTGGGGTTTCTGACTTAAATGGGGTAAGCATCCTTCTCAGAGGGGCCCTTAAGAATAACTGCCTTTCATACCTGTCACAGAGGCAGTTTCTGGGGTATCTGTCTTACCGAATTCAAACAATGCAGTGATCAGGAATTGAAAGACACTCACTGTTTATTTCACACATTGTGTATATGCCCAGTCATCAATCGATACCCTTCACTCGTTTCTCTTGTATCCTTTTTCCTGCCTGGAAAAGGTGAGTTTGAAGGCTTTAACAGAACATTCACTGAGGAGATAGGTACAAAGATGTTATACTAGAATGCTTTTCATACCAGCATGATCTCATTGTCACCCCATAACACCATTGCTTCATTTGTTAAATGACACCATGCCATCACTAAAGCTGTTTCCAGGGAAAAAAGCTCTGGAGATTTTTTTCAGTTGAAACATCAGAGAGTCTCTCAAAATATTTATTAAGTATAAAAGGAAAAACAAAAATATACAGTGGAAAAATCCAGACATCACTTTAAACAAGTGATTAAGGTTAATATCACCAGTAGTATGACATTAATTCTGTGGAGGTGTTACCCTGTAACAATAGGTAAGAAGAGTTTGTGACCTCTGAAGGTTTAATGTCCTGTACACCTGACGTGATGAGCTGAGAAAGGTACCTCACCTCTGTAGTATTCCTCACCAAATCCTTTACTGCAGTATACTAGAGAAAAATAGAGATGTTCTATAAAATATATGGCCAGGTGTCTTCAAAAGTGTCAAGGTCCTAAAAGACGAGAAGAATGAGGAACTGTCACAGATTGGAGACAAAGGAGACAACAACTCAAATGAATACCAATGTTAAGTTTTTAGTTTTGATGTTAACATTAGGGAAGACGGGTATATTAACTAGCTTTCTTGTTGCTTAGACACAATACCCAAGACCCAGTCCATGGTCAAAGGGCAGAAACATCGTGGCAGAAAGTGCAGCAGAGCGCAGATGCTTAGTTCACGGTTGCTGGGAAGCAGAGCAGGGCAACAGAGCCAGAGAGGAATGGGCCAAGGACCGTATATCATATCCAAAGTCATGCCTGCGTGACCAACCCAGACATATTTAGAAGTGTGCTTTATTAATCCCCTGGGCAATTCCTAACCCAGTCAAGTTAACATACAACGATTAACAGTCTCTCACACACACACACACACACACACACACACACACACACACACATGTACATGGGATTTGGGGTTCAAATAAAAGCAGATTCTCCCTTGAAAGCCAGTCCTGGAGGAAGCTGAATGAGGCCTTTACAGAACATATAGCTCACACAGCTTTAGAGCCATGCTGTCATTACAGTGCTAGCCTCCTTGTAGTTAACAGTTCACTAATGTCTTCCCATTAGACAATGACATACTACAGGGCAAGGACATTCTTAAATTCATCTTTGAATTTCCAGTACCTAGCCTAATCCGTAAAAGTAATAAGAGTTCAGATGACAAATTATTTAAAAATAAATCCCAAGTGGCAGGCATGGCATGGGTTACCTTGCAGTATCAGCTATTTAAGAGACTGAGCCAGGAGGAGTTAATAAAGAGTATGTGGTATTTACACACAATGGAGTACTACTTTGCCATGAAAAGGATAAATTTGAGTCATTGTAGGAAAATGAATGCTCTTTGAGACAATAATGTTAAGTGAAAAAAATCTGACACACAAGCTTAAATATTGCATACTTTCCCTTATATAAGAAGTCTAGAGTATAAATAAAGAGCAAAATAAAAAGAAAGATATTAGAAAACAGGAAGACCTATCTTTTGCAAGTGGGAAGGGGACCAAGACATGGAGGGGGGGAAGGGGAAGTAAAAAGAATTAAAATGCATTGTGTACGTGTACCAATCCCCCATGATAAATGTAATCATTGCATACTTCAAATATATACTAATAAAAATTAAATATTAAAAAAAGAGGATTGCTTGAGTTCAAGGCCAGCCTGGGCAACATGCTGAGGCCATATCTCCAAAAAAATCCATTTACAGGAGAAAACTATGGACTGTTTGAATCGATCAAATCTACAATTTTATACCCCCTATCATTTTTTAACAGAGTTGGGGATTTATCCAAGGCCTCAAGCATTCTAGGAAAGTGCTCTACTCCTGAACTATACCTTTGTTTTTCTTAAATATCTTTCTCACTTTATCCCTCAAGATCTGTATTGTCTATAAGTAGAACTCCCTTTACCAATGAGATCTGATAAAAGGCTTTGCCAACTTTAGTTACTATCCCAATTGGTGATAAGAGATAGATACCACGTCTCTAGGTCTCTCCTTTTCACCAAACTGACAACCTGATATGTAAGCATAACCAAGATGTGACATTAAAATAGTTAACACTAACTTTTTATCCCTGCAGATATAGTTTGGATTCTGGTCTCATATAAAGTTATATATATATTGACTGAATCTTTCAGACTTGTTGGGAGGGATTGACTTATTTCTCCATAGTAAACAAGATCATTTATTTATAAATATTCATTGCCTTTTGAACCAGAGGATCTACTAGATACCTAATTTTTGAGTGCAGAGTCATAGAGTATCAGCAAACTTTTACCATTAAGTGTAGACATTCTATAGACTTTAAACACCTGGTTCCG